CCCCAGGTGTCCCCAGATGTGTCCCCAGGTGTCCCCAGGTGTCTCCAGGTGCCCCCAGGTGTCCCCAGGTGTCCCCTCACCTCCTTGCTGTCACAGGGGGGTCTCTCGGGCGCCTGCAGCTGGAACAGGAAGTTCTGCTCCTCCAGGGCGCTGAGGGGACACGGCCACCCCGCCTGGCCACCGGGGACGCGGCAGAAGGCGCCCACGGGGACCTCCCCGGAGTGGTGGCTGCAGGGGACATCGTTGGGGTGTCCCCAAGGTGTCCCCAAGGTCCCAATGGTTACCCCATGCTGTCCCCAAGGTGTCCCCAAGGTTCTCATGGTGTCCCCAAGGTGTCCCCAAGGTCCCCAAGGTGTCCCCAAGGTTCTCGTGGTGTCCCCAAGGTCCCCAAGGTGCCCCTGTGGTGTCCCCAAGGTTCTCATGGTGTCCCCAAGGTGTCCCCATGGTGTCCCCAAGGTGTCCCCAAGGTGTCCCCAAGGTGTCCCCGAGGTTCTCAGGATGTGTGTAGTGTCCCCATGGTGTCCCCAGGTGTCCCCAAGATGTCCCTGAGGTTCCCAAGGTTCTCATGGTGTGCCCAGGTGTCCCCATGGTGTCCCCAAGGTGTCCCCATGGTGTCCCCAGATGTCCCCAAGGTTCTCATGGTGTCTCCAGGTGTCCCCAGGTGTGTCCCCAGGTGTCCCCAGGTGTCCCCAAGGTTCTCATGGTGTCCGCAGGTGTCCCCATGGTGTCCCCAAGGTTCTCATGGTGTCCCCAGGTGTCCCCAGGTGTCCCCAGCTGTCCCCAGGTGTCCCCAGGTGCCCCCAGGTGTGTCCCCAGGTGTCCCCACTCACCACACGTCATCCACCAGCAGGACGGAGCCGTCGGGCATCACGGGCAGGTAACTGGCGTTGAAATTGGGCAGGATCTGAACGTCCCAGAGAGAGAGCTCCTCCTGCGAGCTGCCATTCAGCACTGGGGACAGCGGGGACAGCAGGGACAGCGGGGACATTGGGGACACTGGGGGACATTGGGGACATTGGGGACATTGGGGACATTGGGGACATTGGGGACATTGGGGACATTGGGGACATCAGGGACATTGGGGACATTGGGGACATTGGGGG